TGGCTGGGCAGGGCACCAGGAGGGACAGACTGGGGGCTGCTGTTCCAGGGGGTCCAGTGCTCTGCCAGGACTGACTGAGCTCTGCAGGGAGAGCCCCTCCAGGCAGGCTGGGGGCCTGGGGAACTGCTGGCATGAGGGGGCAGTGGGGGACCCCATGTCCTCTCTGTCCCCAGGTGCAGTGGCTAGAGCAGCAGGTGGCAAAGCGCAGGACCAAACGAGACGTTTTCATGGAGCCCACAGACCCCAAGTTCCCGCAGCAGTGGTACCTGGTGAGTGCTGGATGAGAAGGGTGCATGGTCACAATAGCATGTGTGAGTTTGAGGACACAGATGTGGCATCTGAGGAACTGCTGTTAGGTAGCTGCTGGCAGGGAGGAGGAGGAGAAAGAGGGGGAGGGCCTGAGGCAGCCACCTGGTGCTGTGTGATGGGAACACCCAGGGAAGAGACTGTGCTTGCAGAGCTGTGGCTCCCTACCAGGGTGCTGAGAGGGCTAGCAAAGCTACGGGCTGGGCTAGGGGTAGCAGCCCTTTGCCTGGCCCAGGAATAGGTCCATGCCCCTGTCTCTGTCCTGGAGCTCAGGTACAAGTGAAGGGAATGTCCCTGTGTCTGTCTGGGGCTCAGTCTTACTTTCAGAGCAGCCTTCCTCAGCTGGCAGTACTCAGCCCTGTGCCCAGGTCCCTGGGATTCCTCAACCCCACACACAGCAGAGTGGAGTGGGGGCTGGGGGGGCTTAGGGTGCACCCCCACTACAGTGCCCATGGCTGAGCACAGCTGCTAGTGCTGGGGCTTCTCTTGGCAGTACAACACGAACCAGAGGGACCTGAATGTGCGTCAGGCCTGGGAGCAGGGCTACACGGGCAAGGGCATCGTGGTGTCCATCCTGGATGATGGCATCGAGAAGAACCACCCTGACCTGGAGGCCAACTATGTAAGTGTGCGCAATGCCACAGGACAGAGTGCCACAAGAGCTGGTCTGGGCCGCTGTGTCCACACTGGGCAGCCCCGGGACTGTGTGGCACAGGGCTGATGCCTGCCGTGGTGGGACGTGGAGATGGGGCTGGAGCCTGCCCACCTTATTCAGCCCAACCACAGGCTGTGGAGCACAGGCATAGCCTGAGGGTGCTGGGGCTCTGTGGCCAAGGTAGACAGTCTCCCAAGTGCCTGATTCATTTCCAGGACCCAGGGGCGAGTTTTGATGTCAATGACCAGGACCCTGACCCGCAGCCCCGCTACACACAGATGAATGATAACAGGTGAGGCAGCAGGGAATAGCGAGCACACAGAGCCCAGGTGTGGCGGGGACTCAGCACAGTGTCACCCCCCATGTCTTGCAGGAAGGTGTGGGGCTGGTGGCACACTTCTGCCCCACAGGGAACCCCCTGCCTCCCTTTCTGACACGAGGAGCATCCTTTGCCCAGCACTGATGCAGACTGTTCAGTGCCCCAGCTCTGGAGCAGGAGGGCAGGCAGAGGAGCCTTTGTCAGTCACCTGGTTTGGTGGGGTGGGAGGCAGCCCAGGTGGGCGTAGCTGCTGGTGGTGCCCACCTCCATGCTCCTCGCACCCTATAGGAACTCACTTAGTTCTGTTTTGGCTGCAGACATGGCACACGCTGCGCCGGGGAAGTGGCTGCTGTGGCAAACAATGGGATCTGCGGTGTTGGTGTGGCCTACAATGCCAGGATCGGAGGTGGGTTCTGCCCGGCCCTACCTGAGCCCCGTGAGTGCTGAGTGGCTGGAGAGCGGCTGAGCTGGGGATTTCATTGCTGCTGGCTAGGGCAGCACTGTGACAGCTGTGGCATACAGGGCAGCAGCAGTTGGATGGCTCTCACCAGTGACACTGTGGCCACTCTGCCCTGTGCAGTCGCCCATGATATCTGCTCTCTGGCCCTAGGTGTGCGCATGCTGGATGGGGAGGTGACTGATGCTGTGGAGGCCCATTCCCTGGGCCTCAACCCCAACCACATCCACATCTACAGTGCCAGCTGGGGCCCTGAGGATGACGGCAAGACTGTGGATGGCCCAGCCCGGCTGGCAGAGGAGGCTTTCTTCCGTGGGGTCAGCCAGGTGAGCCAGAGGGTTTGCTGAGGGAGGCCCAGCTCGGTTCCTGCCCTTTCCCCCAGCTCTCCCTTGCTCTATCTGACCTAGTTGTTATCCTGGCCCTCCGTGAATGAGCCATCTTCCAGCCCATCTCCAGGATCAGGCTCTGTTGGTTTTTCCTGTTCTTCCTATGCAATGGCTCTGAGTCAGGGCTCCTCCCATGTGGTGTTCTCACCTTTCTGAGCAGCCCTGTGCTCCCTGCTGTGAGGGCTCTGGTGTGGGGCTCTCCCTGCTCTCCCAAGCCCCGTGCTGGTTCTTATCTGGTTTCGTGCCAGCTGCTTGCCCTCACTGCCTCCACACGTCCTCCCCCACTATCCCCTTGTGCTAGTGGTGTTGGCTGTCTGGGGAGCTGTGTTGCATTCCACCCGGGATTCCCTATGGAGAGACGTGCCGTGTTGTGCTGGCTCTGTCGCGCCTGCTGTGAGGGAGCTGCCACATTTGGGTGCCAAGCCATGGCCGAGACTGCGCTGTGGGCTCCCACAGCGCTGCGAGGCACTGCAAACCCACACAGGCAGTCAGCCTGGGTGACTTCCGGGCAGAAAAGGACTTTGGCTCTTGGAAGCCTCATATCAGCAGGGCCTCCTGGTGCCTCACTCACTGGGGCAGCCCTGGTGCCTCTGCCAAGGTGCCTAGCGCTCTCCATAGGCATGGCTGCAGTGGGGTGCCTAGGCTGGTGGACTGTGACCGAGGTGTCCCGCTGTTCCCCGTGTCTCAGCTGCATCTACTCAGTCTTTTCTACTCAGGCTCGAGGAGCCCTGCAGCTGGCACTGTCTGCTTGTCCCCAGCTCCAACCTGGGTCTTG